TGCCAGTTTTAGGAAGAGAGACTAAAAGCTCGAAGGCTTAGCGAAAAACGCGTATTTTACAACAGGGCGTATTTTCTTCTCAGGAAGGGCTTCCTGTTTCTCAGATAAAGGACAGCTCTAGGCAAGGACAGAAAGTTGAAGAGCCTCACTAGATAGATAGAAAGACATAGAGGGGCGAGATGCGTCAGTGAAAACTTAACAAAGGCAGGCTTTGGGAAAGGCCAGTTTCGCACATGTTCCAGGTTGGAGTAAAAGACAGATAGAGAGGGGACCACAGAAATCCTTTATGCCTCGCTTATTTCTTTTGCTATTGCAGAGAAAAGCGAAGGCTGGGTAAGGGTAACTCAGCACTAGTTAGGGAAGCAGGCAGGGAGATGCAGTGGATGACCAACAGCTACAGGATCAGCAATGCTGAAGGACGATTTTTAACCCGGCCTGCTGCCTGGAGGACGCTGCAAGCCAAAATGTACGCCTTGCACTGTGCTCACCTAGTCACCTAAAAATTAAAGAATCGGTAAAAACCACATCAGGGCCTACTTAAGGAGGTCTGATAGAGGAAGAGAATGTTTTCTTTGTGAGCAGAGCTCACCAGGAGCTCCAGAGCTGACAAGCTCCCCCAAGAGGAGCAGAACATGGCTCAGCCTGAGAGCAGCAGTGAGGAACAGATCTCACATGGGACACAGGGGAGACCAGAGCGGAGACAAAGGGTCCCATTCTTCCCTCTGCGGGACACAGCACTCATACAGGCAAGTTGTGAAATGCTTTCTTTCCAAACCCCAAGCCACCAGAGGTCACTGTGGTTGGCTGAGCTTCATAACTAGGCCCTGCTAGGAGTATCAGCAGTTTTACCTCCGTGTTAGCTAAGTGCAGTCCTTAGCCTCTAATTAAAACACCCTCCTGAGGAGTTACTGATGTCTGTGCCATGTAACAACAGGATTGTGGTCCTCGAGCAGTTTTAAACTAAGGATTGCTTTACCCTCTGTTTCAGTACCCAGTTGCTTGGGGCAGTTTCATACAGTTTTGGCAATGCTTAAGCGCCTCAGAGACAGGAAAACAAAACAGCTTGAACGCAAGCCACCAAACAAGCCAGGACACGTTAAAGTCTCTCTCTGACAGCAATACCAGAAAGACGTCAGCCAGTCAGCGCATTTCACAGGACTGAGTTTTTGTTTCAGACTGGCACTCCACAATGTTCGCATTCTGCTCGGGTTTCTCAAAGCCGGGCTCACGGCCATGAGCAGCAAGGTATTAAACGCAGTCAAAATTTTCTCGGAAGTCTCTAGCATGGGTTTTATATAATACCCTGTATCTGTCTTTTACTCCAACCTGGAACACATGCAAAACTGGCCTTTCCCAAAACCTGTACCAGCAGCTGAGCCCCCAAAACGGTTCCGAATGCTTTATAGCCTGCTGTATACAACATATTTCTACCAACACTGGTTGAGAAGACCCAAGAACAGCGACTAATACCTTTTCTTCTTACCAAGCACTAGCAGCATGGGCTATTAGACCGGAAGATCTACACCACATCATTTGTCCCAGTAAGAAGAGCCACTTGCGTAGGCTACATAAATGTTCCTTCATTGTCTCTGCAGTTATTTTGTGGGCCCCTTCTATAATTTCCTATAACCTGCTCCCAAATCAAAACACAAAGCTTAGGAGGGGAGAGTTTGTCTTCCTCCCCTCCAAGTACACCTAGGGAAAGCATGATCTGTCATGCGTTCTGAACATTTGGGGAAGCAGGCAGGCAAGCTGCCCTACACATGTAGCACTCTGAAGCAGCAGTCAGGCTGGGTTTGTGTTTAAGGTGAGGAAGGAGACACAAGAACAAAGGAAGATCTGTTTCTTTGAAAAGGTCAGTGTCCTCAACTCCACTTGTACCACAACCTGTTTTAACTGCTAGGAGAAATAAGCACGGGTGCGGGAGTGAGGGAAGGAGGAAGAGTTTCTCCTATGGATTTGAGGCAGGACTGGAACAGATGCAGATCTGGGAAAGCTCTACAAGCAGCTCAGAAATACCACAATCTGATCATTGCAGCATGATTAGAGTGCAGCAAAGACTGCAGAAAACTCAGTTAAAGAGGTGTACTGGAGCCATCATGGCAGAAGAATTCTCTACAGCAGCAGGAAGATCATCATCATAGTCCAGAAAGCTTCAGCTCACATGAAGCTTCAAAACACTTGATTTTACAGGGGAATCACTACCTAGAAGAACATAGTTTAGATTTAGATTCCCCAGGAACATCAGATACCATTATTTTAAGCTAGCTAACACAGCAAGGCCGTGAATGCTTCCAGTGAGAGATTCTGCAGTCAGAACAGAGGCGTAGCAGGGTAGGATCCAGTCTTCCTTTTGCAACTGCCTCAGGGGGTACACAAAAAAAAAAACAAACCTTGAAAGTTACCCCTTCAGCACCCTAGTGGATCAGTTAGTGTATTCTGATTATCATCACTGTTACTCACTATGGCTTACAGAATATGGAAGAAAATTCCCATATCACCTCTCAGCATTATTAAAAAAAAAAAAAAAAAGACAAAGTCTCCAAGTCAGGATCTCAGAAAGAGAGTTCAAAGCCCAGTTCTGCCATAGACTTCCTAGATGATCTTGCAGACTAGTTTCCAGTCAAGAAGTGGATGACAACCATCCCTTTGTTCTCTAGAACCTCATCTGACCAAGCTATAAAAAAACCAACCAAACTCCTTTGGACCATGCACTTCCTCACTGGTTTCATACAGAACATAACCACACTCTCAGCCTCTGGGTGTCACTGTATCTGCAGTAAGTCCTTACAACAGGTCAGCTGAGCTCCCCCCCACCTCATCCCTTGAGGGGCTAAGAGATTTTTCAAAACAAACTATCCCTACAATACCAAAGGCAGAAGCTAAGTTGTAAAACATCATTGAATCCGAAGAGTCCCCTTTAGTTCCAAGTCTTTCAAAAGACATCTTTATTACAAAAGATATAGAAAATTAGAGTTAAACTTGTTTCTTCCACAATGTTAATCACAGCAGTTATATAAAAAAACCACCAAGGTAAACATGTTTAAGAGCATTTATATACCAAATAAGTGTTTGCTACTTGCCATCGAATACGGCAAAGACATGCTTGCTCAGCATCAGTGCGGTAAGGGCAGTCATCAGCGAGCATCCGTCTGCCAGAGGCCAGG